TTTTATGCTGACAAACAATTTACAAAAATAATATATGCATGAAAGGAAATGAATATACAATATTATAATTATCATGCAATATAAACAAGAAAGGCTATACTCACAATATTTCTCACCCTTTGACAACATCAAAAAGGGGAAAACCATAAAGAATAAAGAGAGCGAAAGCTCCCCCTACATATGAGCATGGGTGAGTATAAAACAAATATAAGGAATAGCTCCCCCTATCAAAATGCCATATAGAATATATACAATAAAGATCATGACAAACAAGTGAGCAAGCATAAATGCTAAACATAGCTCACATACAAAAGGATAATGAGAACACATATAAATATATCAATATGAAAAATAGTGTCTCATATCAAAGAACATAAAAACCATGTATAAAAGTAGATTTATGAACTCAAAAGAAAAGGAACATGAGAATCATGCAAAATGTTTTCAAAGGAAAACAAATCAACCAAATGAAATCATAAATCAAATTTTAAGCCTATAAATGATGTTTGATCAATAAAGCAAGTTTTCTTTGTAGAACTTGATCAAACCACTCATAGAATGCATTATAAAGCATATTTGAATTTTGAATCATCTATTTGTGCTTATATAATAAATTCAAAGCAACAAATCAAAACAAAATTTTTGACAAAAGAAATGCAAGAGATGCAACAATATATCAAGCTCTTAAGCTTTTTCCAACCCATATAAAGTTTATTAGTACCCGGTAAATAAGATTTGAGAATAAACACCCAATAAACCCGGAGGGTTATATAAACACAAACCTCTCATCAAAATCGAAACAAATAATTATGAAAACAAAAGATTTGATCAATTAAAAATTGTTTTCATATGAAAAGTTTAGAACACGTTTTTCAAAACCAAGAAAAAGATAAAGAAAACCACTAAAATTCTTGGCTTAAAAATCAGCTTGCCTAATTTGGTGAAGTTACCTGAATTGGGGACAAGCCCGCTTGAATTAGGGGCTCGTCTGAGTTTCTAAGTTCGCTCGAATGGGGAACTTTGCTCATGGAGTCAGGCTCGCCTGAAATGTCAGGCTCGCCTGAAATGTCAGGCTCGCCTGAAATGTCAGGCTCGCCTGAAATGTCAGGCTCGCCTGAAATGTCAGGCTCGCCTGAAATGTCAGGCTCGCCTGAAATGTCAGGCTCGCTAGTTTTGGGAACTTTGCCAATAAAGTGAAGTCCGCCTGAGTAGGTGGGCTCGCTTGATAGGCTCAGTTTGCCATCATAGGAGATGAGGGCTTGCGCCTTTTGGCGGGCGCGAGCTTGGCTCTTCTCAGGCCTGAATAGTAATTCAGACCATCATAGGACATGAGGGCTTGCGCCTTTTGGTGGGCGAGAGCTTGTCGTCACCATTGTTTGGCTCTTCTCGAGAGGGGGAGATCCATGTTAACAGTGAGGGAGTGATCGCCAACACGAATCATGGTCTCCTGCTGCATGAGGGCCTATGTGGATAGTTTTTTAACCCAATGAGTAGCCATTTGGCTTGCATTCTTGGTCTTTGGCTCAGTCTTGATTGGTTTGAGGGAGATATAAACCCCTGCTATAGCTCGGGTAGAGCACTTAGCCGTAGTTGCCTCGGTCGCTTGGGGCTATGCCACACGCACGACTCTGTAGCATTTGCGAGAGGCATTGCCACCAGAGGAGGATGAAGATAAGTACTCCTCGTACTTAGCTTGGTCGAACTCAATCACAAAGGGACACGACTGTCATCCCCTCGTAATTTCGTCAAATTACGCCATCACCATTTCTCTTGAAGAAATCGTTCCTCCTACTGTGGTTGCCATCTTCTGTGGGGTGTAAAATTGATTTCCGAAAAGAGAAGTTTTATATTAATAAGAATTGCTTATTACAAATCAAAAAAAAATACAAATTATAACAGAAGCAAAGAGAATGCTCTTCTTGTTTAACGTGGGTTCTTCGGTAGCGATAGGACGCCTACCTCAAATGCTTGCGTCGAGTTTGCTTCCCTTGGATCATCCGATCGAAACTGCGATTGAGCTTCAATACGTAGTAGAAGCTCTTGTGTTATTGAGTTCGATTACCCGAGCTTGATGAGTATCAAGGCCGAATGCTTAGAGAATGCTAATATGCAAGAGCTTTCAAAGAGCTAAGAGTCTCAAATCCGAGAGTTCAGATTGAGTCTACTTTAACAATCCAAGCTTTTGCTTAAGAATAACTAGCCAAGCTCTCAAGACGTCGAGTCTTAAGAAGTGCCAAGCCGATCAAGCCCACAAAACTAGTAGCCAAAATGCCCTCTTCATGTTGCCAAAGGTGGCTTATAAATAGGTAAGGAAAGGCATGGTCAATCCTTTGACTTGTGGGATGTGACCGCTTAGGGGTGAGGAGCACCATACCTTCCCCTATAGGTGTGGGATGTGACCACTTAGGGGTGATGAGAGCCATGCTCCATCACTTAGAACATGGGACGTGACCTTGCCCACTCCCACAAGCAAGCAGCTGCTTGTACCGCTCAAGCGAGGTTAGCAGGCTTGCAGGCGAGCTCGAGTGGTGTCTGAATGCTTAGGCGAGCTTGTAGGCGAGCTTAGCGAACAGGCGGTGTCAGCTGGCGGACCCCTTAAGCGTTAGGCGAGCTAGAGTCTGTAGGCGAGTTTAGTTCGTGCCGGCGAACTCCTTGCAGGCGAGCTTGACTCGTTCAGGTGAGAGCTTGACTCGTGTTGGCGAGTCAAGCAATGTTGGCGAACTTTGGCTCATGCAGGCGAGCAAAGTGTTGGCGAGTCAAGCTTGCAGGCGAGCTCTGCTTGGCCTCTTGAATGCAGGCAAGCTTGACTTGGCCTGGCAAGTCAATCAAACAGGCGAGCTTTGCTTGGCCTTCTGAATGTAGGCGAGCTTGACTTGGGCTGGAAAGACAATGAAACAGACGAGCTTTGCTTGGCCTTCTGAATGTAGGTGAGCTTCGCTTGCTTTGAGCACGCAGGCGAACTCAAACATGCGAGATTTGAGTTTTCTTGTGTAAAGGCAATTTTTATTGCCTACACNNNCGACTAGTTATTTGTCTACTCTGTGTCGCGAGAGCAAACCTGTTTGCAGATCATGTGCTAGTACTTGCTAGCGAAGCTAGCAAGCATTGCTGACATTAAAAAGTAATATGTTTGTGCTAAAGAACACATAGCAGAGCTCCCAATAATTTGTGGTCTTGCTGAATTATAAGATTGTGGAAGAGAACCAAGAAAGGCGAATACCATCAGTTGATCCCACTAATCTTTCATGTTTTGAATATCCCCCATAATGGAAAATTTCTGTCTCAGCTCCTCTGTGAGGCCATTGAAGTTGCCATAATGCTCCTCAAAAGTCCGATTATGCTCATCCATCCTGTTTCAAAATAACTTCTGAATGACTTCATACGCTCGATTGGCGTGCCCCCGGCCTGAGTACAATTGTTTCAAGAACTTTCACACTTATTTCACTATAGTGCAGTGAATTGCTAGCTGAAGGACCTGTGGTTCCATGCTGTTCCAAAGTTGATGAAGTAGACTAGTGTCATCCTATTTCTAAGAGGCAATAACTGGTACGGAAGTGTCATCTTACAGATGATGATCATTTCCCCGTCCTAAAATATAAACTCGAACTAGTTGCTTCCAAAGTAGGTAATTGGACTAATTCAATATTTGGTCAGTGATTCTGCTAGAGAGTCTTCTTGTGGGTCTTTATCTCATCAACAGAATTACCAGAGGACGCCATCAATACAACAAATAAGATCCTTCAATTAGTAATCTCCCAAAAATAAACTATCAACCTCACTCAACAACAAATTAACTTCCAATAATCCAATCATCAACAACTAATCAAATAATTAGTTCAATAAGTAAAACCATTCTGTAAAGAATGACTTTTTGTTTATCTCAAAGAGATTGTTAATGACTGATCGTAACATAGAGCTAAATAATTAGTTGAAGATCTATAAAGATATACTTGTTAAGCTAAATAATTAACAAAATATCTATAAAAATCAAGTTGATGAGCTAAATGATTAGCTTAACTTTTTTTTAATGATGGATGAACAATACTGTCGGATGAACAGTACCCGATGAACAACATTTGTGATGATGAACAGTGTCGGCTAGGGTTTGGTTGTGGAGAATGATGGCTAGGGTTTAAGAGAGGTGGAAGGTGGCGGCTAGGATTTAGAAATTTAGAGAGAGAAAAGAGGGTGGCTCTAATACCATGTAATTTGGAAAACCCTAGTGAGTTTATTAGCTCTCCTTAGGATGTTATTTATAGTGTTCAAGGAAACAAAGAAGTTTGTCCCTAACCGATGTGGGACTAAACAATAGTAAACAACTACTCTCAACAAATACATCTTTACATACAACCAATGTGTGATGGTTGTAACTCACATTTGATGAACTTGATCTATCATCTAACTAGTCAATCATGGCTATCTATAGCAGCATCTCGGTGATATACATGCTTCATTTTATGAAACTCCAGCCAGTATTTCCAGACATTTAATTCATAGACGCATCAAACTACTAAGATTATAAAATTTGGATTTACATACAAAGTACAATTTTACTTAAAACCCCTGAGGGGGGGTGTTGCCGTTAACTTCCTGAACTTTGTTGATTTTCACTTAACCTCCTCTCCCCTGAATTTAGGAGTGTTTTCAACACACCCCTTGACTTGGTTACCCATCGACGGTGAAAGGACGAAAATGCCTTTTTGAAATACAATCCTCAAAATAAAAGTAAAAAAAAAAGGATAAAGGATTAAATTTCATAAACTGAGGGGTATTTTTATCATTTGATGTCACATTCTTGGCATGTGATATGCCGAAGTTTTGTGACACAACTTTAGCGTGGTGGTGGTGTTGTTGTGATGTATTTGTTTTTTCCCTCTTTGAATGAAATAAACAAAGATCAGAGGGATTATATGCAAAACCACCAAAAGTTGTAATGGAATCAAGTCCTATCTGCAAAATCCTTGTAGATCATTGAATAGATCTGTAGGTGTACTTAAAAGGACTAGAAATTTTAGGACAATGTATATGCTTATCCAATTCTATTAGTTCAAATATGAGTACATAACAGTGATATCAATGGATCTCTCGCTATTTCAATACATCCCCCATGTTCTGTCTACAATTTCCTTCAGGAAAACATTTGCTAGTAGTCATAGAAATCAAAATTTCAGAGGAAAGGTTGCTCTGAAAGTCCAAAACTTGATGTAGAATGCAGTTACAAGCTGTCAGTTGAATCAAACTCATGCAGCCATATCTGACTCTGGCTCAATGGCTGATCGAAGTCCAAAGCGTATCATCATCTGCGCGTAGAATTCAGCATGCTCCTGCACGAAACAAATTTCATTACCACTGCTATTTAACAGCATATAAAATTTATAAAATACCACAAAAAAGCTTGAGAGCTTGATTTCTATCAAATATATAAATTTAAAGATCAATACCTTCACAGTAACAATAACAACTGCAACCCCATTTTCTCGAGATTCATGAAAGAGCTTCCTTGCCTCACTGACAGTTACGGATGGAACCACTTGTGGCAATGCCTTTTCCACTGTAAAGCAGAAAACAAAATACTAAGCATATTTAACGCACCCACGATGGTTATAAATAAGAGAACAAAAGGACAAAGTATTGCATATATATGAGGGCAAACTATTAGACAGCGCTATTACCTAACTTCTCGGAGTGACGTGCATCATCAATTAGTAAAACCCTATAGCTGTCTCCACTCCCAAGACTTTTCTTATCCTTCAATCGTCCAATGTCTCCCCCTGTAGATCAAATCGCAAATTTATTAGCAGATCTAATAAGTGAATTTACAGCATTTAGCAACATCAGCAACTTGCTCACTTAATATCAATTGGAGTAAAGTTCATATGAATATAGTTCTTGTCAGATCATTTCTCATGCGACAAGTGTCATTGAAGCTCCCCATACTGCTTAAATAAGTCTTTCAATGTGACTGAGGTTTCTCAGATATACTGATCTATTCTACTAATCCCTTTCTTTCATTTTTTAAATAGAACTACTAGTCCTTTTCAGAACAAAGTAAGATGTATCTGATTTATGTTTCAAGATTTTTCTTTAAAAGTTGAACTTTCTAAAAGTATACGTGGCTTTGGTTTTGTTTGCTAGTATAATTGCTGAATTTTTTTAAAGTTTTCACTTCTGTTCTCCCAAAAAATTTAGTCATTCTCATATGCTGACAACTATTATGGTTCTTCACAGTTATTTTGAGCTTGTTTTTGCTCCATTTCTTGCCCAAACGTGGAGTCTGGTCTGGACTATTATCACTAGTTATTATTTTACCACAAGGAATAACAACAAAATACATCTTTCTCTAACCCTTTTCCTTTTTTCCTTGTTCTTTTCCTTTTTGGGTTTTTGTATATATACACACTAAATTACGCTCCATATCTAACAAAATTAATACTTTTTTGATTTTGGACTTTTTTTGGCCAAAGATGATGATTTGGGATAGTTTTGCAAATGCTGACATTTGGGGAGTAGTTTACAAATACACGTGATTTAAGGGGTATATATACAAAAAAAATCCTTTTTCATGAGGAAAAGATAGGTTGATTGTAATCCACCTCCTTAATAACCATAGAACCGAATTCTTGAATAACCCATCAAAGGCACGGCTCTTCATCCAGAAAGAAAAATTCCAAAGCTAAGAGCTAATTGTCTAAGGCCAAAAAGAAAACATTGAAGAATGGTGGTGACCCATACTTGAGTTCAAGGTAAGACCGTTAGATCTAACAACACACTATGCCAAGCATATAACAAAGGAAATCGGGCAAATATCTATCAGCATCCCCACAATGAAATGTTTAGCAAGGTGGTGAATTTAAGAAATGCATTGGGTTCATCATCCTAAAACAATATAATGCATTCATTTGAACAACAAACATCCTTTAATACATCTCAGTGAACCAATTATAACATGAATAAGCAACTGCAGTAAGTTTCTGGTTCTTCCTGTTCTCCCTCCATACAACACAAATAAACATGCTCAGAATGAAAAATCTTTAGGACCAAATGATCTAGATGGGTTTATACGCAATTCAAAAAACCAAACTATGAAGTGAGATTAAAGGTGATCTACAATAAAATCTGAGATGGAGAGTATAACATGTGGAAATTGTCGCCTTTGTGAGTATCAATCACGATTTCAATGTCAAATGTTTCCTCTAAATATCTGTGAGACCAACCATTGCAAGCGCACCTTAATGCTTATAGATTGCGCTGATATTGGAATCAATCTCTAGAAGTGACCGATTTCTTTTATATCACTTATTTCTTGGAGGTTATAAGTGGCAACACTATTTTCTTATATATAATCCACTCATAAATTCTAGTAATCCAAACAAGTTCAACGACAACAATCACATTTTCTAAACAGAACACATAATCCATTTATCAAACAGATGGTGAACAATCACATTTTCTTCCAAATACCAACCATAAAGACCCAAACAAGAAAATTACAACAAAAAAAAAATTGAAAATAGGGCAGTACAGATTTCCGCACTATTAGAACAATTTCAATGACATCAAACATCCAATACAACAGCAATTTTCTATAACGAAAGCCCATAATCTTACAAATTGCAACCGTAACAAAACCCAAACAAGAAAATTTACAAAAAGTTACCTTCTTCAGCCTCAGGAATTGGGTCAAACTGGGACTGATCAAAGGTGGGCCTCTCAAGAAGTCCACTCCCGCCCCTCAACGAGCTCAAATTCCCTTTAGCGCCAACTGAGATGCTCATCTCGGTCTTTGAGCCCACGGGTATAAAGAAAATGGAAGCATTGTTAACAGAACGAGGGCTGGGAGTTGGGTTGTTGAGATTGAGAGCAGCGAAGGCCGCAGCTTTGATAGAAACCGCCATTAAAGTAAGAGACTTGGAGAATTGAGGGGCTTCTTGGTTTCGTGAAGAGGCAAGGTGAGGTTTAAGTAGATAGGGCTCCAGGATAACAGAGAACAGGGGTAAGATTTCTGGCTACGGAAATGTTTTGCTGTAGCATGTGATTCTACTACACTGAACACTTTATCTATAGACAGGGCTCGAACAAAGAACCATTTATGTGTAAGAAATTATTTCAATATTCACACATATGAGAAATAATTTCGATATTCATGAAACATTGTATGAGAAATAAACATTTGGAAATTATTGGTTTAAGGAACCATTTATGTATAAGAAATTATTAAAAATTAGTCATAACCCATATATGATTAGAATTATATTTAGTTACATTTATATAGGATGAATTTATTTATCTTTTTTGATTTGCACGCTATAATATCCCATCCGTATGAAACTTATCTTTTACTAATTGCGCTATGATCGCTGAATTCACTTTTCAGCAACTTATTGCAAAGGTAAGTTAAAAGTAAATAAAGAAAATTACATTGCACGTACATATGTAAATGAAAAAAATGTATATAAAGGTCCCACGTTTTCATGATTATTAATTATTATGTGTTTAATGTCCTTGATAGGAGACATATCAAATCTTAGTTCGTAATTAAGTTTAAAACAGACAATTGTTATATATGGAGCATACACTTGAGGTCTTTACCTGCAGACAAGAATGTGAGGTAGTTATGAATGCTTCATCATCCATCTCAAATTTGATTGATGAATTATCCGAGGAGAAAAATTTATTGTGGGGTTCCTCCTATTTTAGGAGGGATCTGTAATATACGTGTTTTTTTTTTCTTTGTATGGGTCCCTCTCATTTGTTGAGAGTTCACTAAAATGTGTAAATTTCACATGAATGTTGAAAACGTGAAATCAAGAAGGCGAGAGGAGAGTTTGTCGAACATCGTAGGCTAGTATCATTGCTCACCTTGCTTTGCGGGAGCATGTCGTTTTCCCATTGTTGGGGTTCCGAGGGCAAACACAAACGCTGAGAGAGAAGGCCAAACACAATCAAAATAACGGCACGAAGACAAACAAATAAATTTTACGTGGTCCGGCAAGTTGCCTACATTCACGGGGCAAGAAGGGATGAGTTTTCACTAATAGAGAAGGAGAGTACAAATAGAGATTACAAATTCACTCAAAATCTCTCAAAATAGAGAAGGAGAGTACAAATAGAGATTACAAATTCACTCAAAATCTCTCAAACAAACCTCTCAAATCTCTCAAACAAATAGAGATTACAAATTCACTCAAAATCTCTCAAACAAACCTCTCAAATCTCTCAAACAAAACCCTAACCAGATTGCTCAGAAAACTCTCTTTTCTGTGCACAAAACAAACCCCTTTTTCAACTCCCAAAAACCCTAAACAGCTTTTATTTATACCAAACACAAATCCCAATCAGAACAGGAAACCGCAATCAGGTCCAAACCCGACTGGCGGTCGACTGACCAGAAAGACAGAAACCAAAAATCAATTACAAGGTTTGGCGGTCGACCGGCTAGAGTGCAGAAACACACCTTGTACTCGTGCACGTTTCCGGTCGACCGCACATGTTGCCGCGGTTGACCGGACAGCACCCAGACTGTTTCCTGCTTCGTTTTTCCTAAACTTCGTCGCCGTTTTTGCAGTTTCTACAATTCTCCACATTGGCGAAGTTTTCCCAAATCTGAGCCGACATCAATACCAACCAAACATCTCACTCAAAGTGGAAACAATCCACGACTACGGACTCAATCCACAACAAGTCGAGAATCCAAACGAGAATGTGAATAAACTCCAAAATGTCGGTATCAACTCATCAAACTGGCTGTATCAAAATGACTGCCTATGTATCCTCTTGCCAAAGGAATCAAGCCACACGTAGTTCATCCAAATGGCCTCAAACGACCTCAATCAATTAGAAAAATTCTCAATCCTTCACCAACATTTCGATCATCAACACTAACCAATCTGTAGCTGATTACGCCCCTATTGGGCTCAAAGTGAAAAGACAAACTTTCTTCTAAACTTGCATCTCTCCCCACCAACTCTATCTTGGAGCTCAACTCCTCAACCCTATATGTAGAAGAAGCACAATTACCAAACACCTCCAACTGAGGTAAACCAATGACCATAGCCAAATCTGAACTGTGTCCATTAGCTGCACTCGAAACAACAAACTCATCATCTGCATCAACACCCACATGATCCCCAATCTGTATCACCTCAGCTAGAATCTCAAACGATATAGAATGATCTGGAGATCAAGGAGTAATCTCAATCAAATATGAAGTAGCATCACTCTCCACCCGCTGCGATATCCCAATGATCTGTCCAACACTCTCCACCTGCTGAGAGTCAAATATGACAATACTGCTCAGAACAATATCAGAATCCTATAACTGGTAACCAAACACGCCTCTGAATCCCTAATGTACACTCGAATCAAATTCACATCCTCGATGTGACAATATACTGAGCATCCAAATATCCAAAGCAACCCAAAATCTGAAGCAGCTCCATCAGATCCAAATACTCTAATCGCGGCAGATGGCAACCTGTAAATAATATGGTTCCAATATGTCAAAGCCTCAGCACCAAAACTTCTCTGCAAACCACTACTTGACATCAAACACTGATCCTTCTCCAGCAAGGAACAACCCATCAAATTTACCATCTCATCTCGTTGCCCCAATGTTTCATTTCCAATGAAGTGTCTCAAACTACCTTGAGCTAGGCACAAATGCAGAAATGATCCCTCTTATACTTCCTATCAAAATTAGAACTAGGTAAATTTACCTTTCTGCCTATACACTTCTTCCACCTGTTGTTGACTACTAGGGTTTCACTCAAACGGGACTTGGTTGCAACCCACATATGCCTAGAATAGTCTTCAACACAGGAAACCAAATATCTATTACCTCCCAATGATGCCTCCTTGGAAGGCCCCCAAATGCCTACGTGAACATCATCTAGAAGGCCCTTCGCTCGGTAAATAGAAGTGTCAAACTTCACATCGGTCTTCTTGCTCACACCATTATATTCACATGACTTCAAATTGCAGGTCAAAGCACCTCTCTCCAATCCATGCACGAAATAAACACTCGAATGTCCTAGCCTCCTCAAATGCCACAGTCTAGCTAAATCAATAGAAGTCGTCAGCGCTCCACCTATCACCGTGCTCCCAATCAAATGGTACAAATTATTCTTTCTGATGCCCTTCATTACAATCATGGACCCCATTGTGACCTTCAAAGATGCATCCTCTAAGATCACCCTATAGCTTGCTGCCTCCAAAACTCTAAGTGAAATGATGTTCTTCGACAACTCCGGAACGAACCTCAATTCATTCAACTCCCTAGTCATCCCGTCACACATTCTGATTCAAATTGTTCCAATACTACTAATAGGGCATTCATGATCATTATCCATGAGCACGACATCTCCTCTTTCCAACTCCTCAAAACTGGAGAACCAATCCCTCCTAGGACAAATGTGGTATGAAGTACCCGAATCCAACATCCACTCTGTAGAATCGACATCACAAACTGACGCTAGTGAAGAGCACGAGTAGCCCAAAGAATTCGAATCTAAATCATCGTCACTAACCTTGGCAACATTCACCTTCTGAAGCTTGTATAGCTTTCCTCTTATTCTTCCCGGCTCGATCTTTCAACTTTGGGCATTCAGAGTTTCAATGTCCATATTCTTTACAAAAAGCACATTGATTCCTACCAACTGAAGGATGTGCTCCTCTAGACTGCGAACTCCTATTTCGGTTTGGACTTTTCCCTCTTGCAGTCAATGCCTCCGCTGCTACATCATTAGAAGACTCATTGTCTTTCTTCCTAAGCTGATAATTTACAAGTGCAGCGGTGACCTTACTATATAAAAGAAATGACTTTCCATTAATTAGGGTAAGAACAAAGGTCTCATATTACTCGTCAGGTAAGGAACTCAACAGCAATAATGCCTTGTCCTCATCATCGATCATAACATCCACATTCGTCAAATCCACAAGAAGCTTCGTGTAGTTGTTTATATGATCACTAATTGAGATTCTCTTCTTCAACTGGAAACGGTAAAGCCTCCTTTTCAAATGCAAGCGGTTCTTGATACTCTTTGTCAAATACTTGCTCTTAAGAATCTCTCAAATCTTCTTTGCTGAAGTCTTATTGATCACATCATACTTTAGATCTTGCATTAAACAAGACCTAATGACGCCATACGCCGTCCAATTCATCTTCTTCCAAACCTTTTCTTCAATGTCGTCTAGCTTGCCATCCAATTCCAAAGTATCTTCCAAATTTTACGCGTTCAACGCATCCAAAACTTCACATCTCCATAATTCAAAGTTATTCATGCCATTAAACTTTTTCACATCTATCTTCATAGAGTGGATATTCAAACTTTGAACAGTCTTCACGCCAGAAGAACCACTCTCAACACCTCCTTTCTCAGCCATCTTCCTTAAAACACCAACAAACCAATACAGAACAAACTGAAAGATAGATCCAAACCACAAGAAAAGTAGATTTTTACCTCTAATTGAAACCCTAATAAGAGCCTCTAAAAGATCTCACCCTCACACGACGGAAGACAAAGATCCACAATAATAAAAATCCCACCTTTGCCTCTAACTAAAGCCCTATATGAGCTTCTAAAGTAATCTACTCCTCCACCTAATCCCAAGCGTAGTCTGGTGCTCTAATACCACTTGTTGATATTTTGAGGGCAAACACAAACGCTGGAGAGAAGGCCAAACACAATTAAAATAATGGTACGAATACAATCAAATAAATTTTACATGGTTCGGCAAGTTGCCTACATCCACGGGGCAAGAATCGGATGTTTTTTTACTAATAGAGAAGGAGAGCACAAATAGAGATTACAAATTCACTCAAAATCTCTCAAACAAACCTCTTAAATCTCTCAAACAAAACACTAACCAAATTGCTCAGAAAATTCTCTTTTCTGTGCACAAAACAAGCCCCTTTTTCAACTCCCAAAAACCCTAAAAGTCATATTTGTATTTATACCAAACACAAATCCCAATCAGAACAGGAAACCG